CCACCGCCGACCGCCGGCGGGGCACTGGCGCCGATTGCATTGCCAACATTAGGGTAGCCTGGGTCGGGGTGGCATCACAGCCGGCAGCGCAAAAGCAAACGGGCTCATAAAATGAAGGCAGGCTGATGTGACGGCGGCCGCGGCGGGGGTCGGCTCGGCAGTCGCGCGACAGCTCAGCGGCCGCGCGAGGCAAGGCGGGGCGGGGCGGGGAGAGTTTAGGCGCGCCCATCAGGGCTCGAGCCGTGGAGTGCAGGGTGCTGCGGCTCCGCGTATTGGTGCAGGCGGCACAGATTCTCTGGGTGATATCAAGATATTTCGCCCCGCTCACCAGGCAGCTCGTCGGCCCATTGAAAGTATCTGCAGTCCTGCGGATCATGCATGCATGGTTTGAAAGCGTGCAGGAGCGAATGCCGTGAGCCGCGCCCCGGGCTGGCGCGGGCCGCGCGCAGAGACAGCTCCGGACGCCGAGGGGCTGCACGCCCCGTCCGCGCCGCCGCTCGCGCCATGCGCCGGCGCTGGCGGGCCGCAAGGGGCTGCCGACGCCCCCCATCAGCGTCTTCGACTGCCAGCCGTCCCGTCCGCGCCGTCTGGTTCCCGCCTGTGCGCCGGAGGCCGCAGCCCCACCTCGCATTTGAAGAACCACCTGCCGTGGTTGGGGCCCGCCTTCCTGGTCTTGAAAAGCAGGGGTGCCGGCTGCGGCGGCCGGCAGCGGCAGTTGGGGCGCCCAGTCGGCTGGGGGTGGGGGTCCGCCATCCCTGGCGCCGCCGCACCCGCCGGCCTGACTCGAGTTCCCCGAGGCTCGAGCGGCGCGCCGGCAGCGCGCAGCGCTCTAGTCGCGCGTCCGTGCTGCTGCTGCCGCTACTGCTGGCTGCGCAGGCGCCTGGCGCTGGCGCGGGCGCTGGCGCTGGCGCGGTCTACGGGCAGGCCGCCGCCTCTCCCTCGGACCCTGCCGTCAGTCTGCACCCGTGATGTGTAATCACGTTGACGTGAGCATGCAGTAGGGGCCAGCACAATGGTGAGCTCCAATGTGGTGTGGTAAGGTGCAGCTGCATTTGTGTTGCAGCAAGGCGCGGCGCGGCGCCACTCAGCGACGAAATGTGTTGCAGCACGCAGCGGCGCTGCAGCAGCGACAGTGTTTGGTGTGTGCTGGTGTCCACGACGCTTGCGCTTGCTCGCATTATCATATTGCTCACTCACGTGCGGGATTCTTTTGTTTTGTTGGTGTGATGGTCGGAAGGCCTGCTGAGGTCGTTGACAGCACGCCTGCGGTTCGTTTTGGCAGCCCGTTGTTAGAACACTGTCACATACGCGATGTGGCGCTTATCAATGCAGACTGTACAGCCAGACAACAGGCCCTTGCCATCATGGGAGCAGCGGCACCAGCGCCCACGCTCACCGGTGACGAGGCACGGGTGTCGTAGTCGTGCCGGTCCGCATTGCCGGCACACCGTGCAGCGCAGCGGCCGCCTTCCTGCCGTGCACTTTTCCGCATGTGTGCAGGGCCCAAGGATGCCGTGATTGCGACCAGCAAGGCGCAAGCGCAATCATGCATGGCCAGGCCCCCGCCCACCACAGCTAACCGGCAACTTGCTCAACAATCTGCGAGCTCCTAGCTGCTGCCTGCTCTCGCACCCCCACCAGCCGCCCACCACGGCCGTTCCGTGCAGCAGATACCAAATGGTGTTGTTACAGATCCTCGGTCAGAGCGAAGGGCATCAGACCTTCGCCGCACAGCGCAGGCCAAGCAGGCGGCGCCACCCGGATATGCGCGCACACCCCTCAAATTGGAGCCCCTTGGCAAAACGGGATCCAGATTGCCCTGTCGTGGCTGCCATGTGCACAAGCAGCCATGCTCCGGCCAGTTGTCGGAGCAAAGCCGCTTGTGCCCAATTGATCAAGCAGGGAATTTCCGCCAAAAATGCGGGCCAAGTGCGCCCGCTGATCTGAAGCCAGGCGACAAGCCCATGGCTCGTGCCTTCCTCTGTCGTAATGTCTTTGCAAAATTTTGCCTGGATGGAGTTGGGCGCCTGGGAACAAGGTGCTGCCGCGCGCAATGTGCGCGCGGTATCCCGGCTCAGCCGCCCCCGGCACACACAATGCAGGGCCGAGGGGCGAGCCAGGGTATGGAAGGCTGAGGGACACGCCAGGACGGCGCGCCCCCCGGAAAACCGCTGGTCAAAAGTGTCGCCCTGTTGGGACCGGGGCTCCGTTCCTGACGCACGCGTGTGAGTGCGGCTCTGGTCGCCTTCCCTTCACAGCCGGCGCCAGACCGGCGGGAGGGAGGCGGGCAGACAGAAGGGGTAGTCAGCCTGCAGCATGCAGGCGCAGCCACCATTGCACACCTCTGCCGCTCAAAATTGGCCCTGTGTGCTCGGGGGATGGGGGAGGGGTAGACGAGTGATCCGGCGTCCACCCCTCCCGCGGCCCCCAGGAGGCCATGCGGCGCGGTTGGTGACAGTGGCGGCAAATGTGATTTGCTGGGCTCTCTTTTCGTTCGAGGCGCTTGGATATGCAAAATGACCCGCCGTCGCCCTGCAGCAACCAGAAGCGGCGGCGGCGGCTGCTGCAGCAAGCCGCATAAGGCGGTCCAAAAGGAGGTCGCCGCGGAGCGGCGCCGGCAGTATGCAAGTGTGGGGTGGGCCGGCCGGCGCCCAGCGCGGCCGCGCGCGACGCGTTGGGCAGTCGCGCAGCGGCCGGCCGAGCGCGGCAGTGCGGCCTGTTAAAACGGCTGAGTATTTCTTCTCTCGTGCTCGCGTGGGTCCCTCTAGGCAAAAAAATGCACCGTCGCGCGCAGCTATGCCGCGTGGGCAACGAGTGCGTGTGCGGCGGGCTGCCGCCGCCTGCCGTGCGCCCTAAAGGCGGCACGCCCTCTGTTCAAGGTGCCGCCTGCCGCCTATCAACAACCATGCCGCGCTCAAAGGGCCGCGGCCGCGCCCGCCGGCACTGCGGCGCCCGCGCCTGCGCCCGCCGCAGCCTGCAGCTGCATCGCGCGCGTCGCCGCCAGCCTGAGGATGCGCGCCGCGGTCACGGCCGCGGCCACGCCCTCGTCCGCGGCGGTCACCGCGACCGGCGCGCCGCCGCCAGCGGGGGGCGCCCACGCGCCGCCGGGCGCGGCGGCGGGGACCGACAGCACCGGGGCGTCCACGATAGACGCGACCGCGCTAGCCAGTCCGGCATCGGCGCCCGCGGCGACGATAATGACATCGCAAACCTGCACGGTGGCGCAGAGGGAGAGGGGGCCGGCGCCGCGCGGCGGCGAGCGGGGGTCAGGACTCGGAAGGCCGGGGCTGGGGCGCCGCGGCGCCTTGCGAATGTTACCATGGCATATGACACTCCCCTCGGCGTCGCTGCTCCTGGGGCCCCCCCGACGCTGACCACGCGCGCCCGAGGAGCCGCACCCGCCAGGGGGGGGGTGAGCCCGTCCGCTGCCCCGCTTCGCACCTGCAGCGCGGGCGCGGCGGCGACCATGGCCTTCACGTCATCAGACCGCAGCCCTTCCTTCACGATCACAAACGCCCCCAGGTGCTGCAGCAGCAGCCTGGTCAGGTCGACCGCGGCCGCGGGGCCGCCGGCGGCGGCGGAAGGCGAGGGGGCGGCGGCGGCGACGAGGCCGACGGTGCCGGGCAGGCGCTGCAGCGCAGCGTCCTCGGATTTGAGGAGGAGGCACTTGGCGCCGGCGTGGTATTGCACGCCGGGGAGGAGAGCGCGGACCCGCGCGTATGTGGTCGGCTCTATGTGGGTGGCGATGGCCTGGTGGGCGGGGGGAGGGGGAGGTGCAGCAGGAAAAGAGGGGCGTTGGGTTGATTGCATGTGAACCGCTGGTTGCGGGGGGATAGGGCAAGGCTCAGAAA